TGGAGATTTAAAGACCTTTTTTTAAGTGTTCTGTGTCCATACATATTTACTATATTGTAAATGAAAATTGAAAATTTAAATTATAAAATCCCAATTTATACATTTATTTGTGGCATAAAAATTCATTGTATACTGGGCACTGATATTTTATATCCAAAATATTTCTGGAAAAATCCTTCATTTCAAGCATGCTTTGCCTTTATTTTATAATATTGCCTTCTAATTCATCTCCCTCCATTTATATATATGTCCCGAAAATTTATTTTCCCCATATCATTTAGAGTAATTTATCTTCAGTGCACATAGGATGATGAACCACTACTTAAATATTAATAGCCATGTATCTTAAAATTTCATATAAGGTTCCATGATCTGACTTCTGCCCAGAAATATACCGATAGCCATTTCTGTAGCTGCCTTTTTCTCTGAACTCCTGGAAAGGCCCTCCTTGCCAATACCGCTATTGTAGACACATGCATGTACTCTCTCAGGCTTCTCTCCCTCTCTTGATGCTTCCTGGCCTGCTCTCACCCTTTCCTGGCCTCTCAGCTTTTGAATGTGGTTCACCTCACTCAGGCATGACACCTAGCAAAGGCATCTTTGACACGTGGATATTTATATTCTTTAACCCCAGTGCCAATAATTATTGAGTAAAATAGATAAAGAGTGTTTGTGCTAAGATGTTTTGAAAGATCATCCCTACAGTCTAGGAGCAAAGGGGATAGACATGGAAAAAATAACTTACAGTTCAGGTGGGAAAGCTACGGTAGAGAAATCAGTGAAGTGCTGAGGCAGCCCCAAGGACGGAGATGCCTGTTTATCTGGGGAAAGAGCCAGAGCCAAGGAGGACTTATGTTTTAAGAGTGTTATATCCATGGATATTTGCTATGTTGCTAATTAAAACTGAAAAAAATTAAAATACAAAATCCAGATTTATACATGTACTTATTTGACAAAAATCATTCTATACTGGTGCTGATATTTTGTATGTGAAATATTTCTGGAATCATTCCTTCATTTTAGGACCGCTTTGCCTTTATTTTGTAATATTGCTTTCTAATTCATCTCCTGCATTTATTTATATGCCCCTGAATTTAATTCTCCTGTAGCATTAAGAGTGAGATCTATCTCCAGTGCAAATAGCCCCATGAACCACTCCTTAAAATATCAATATCCAATCACCTTAAAATTTCATTTAATGCTTTCATAATCTGACTTCTGCCCAACTCTCCATCTTTAGCCTGTCTCTATCTTCCCTTTTCTCTGGCATTACTGAACTCCTGGTGATGCCCTCCTTGCCAATCCCTCTATTGTAGAATTTTAAATTTTGTTTTGTTTCTGTTGATCGTGTTCATTTATGTTAGGTGGATGAGTTTGCAAGTGACTCCTTGAGATGCTTGTATGCCTTGTAACTGGTGACATCCAGTGCCTCCCTGAGTGGGTTCTTGAAGTTTTGCATCATTACAAGTACTTTTCACAAAAGTAGATATTCTGCTAAAGATTAAGCTTTATTTAAACTCTCAATTTATAAAATAAAAATGAATTTTATTTTTTATCTATTTTTATAAAGACTAAAGCTTTTATCAAACTCTTTTAAGTGTCTCATTGTAACTAAATATATAAATTTGTCAGCAGAACCAGACTTTGTAGTGGCATCAGCAGAAGAGCAAGAAAAGCTTAAAGGAAGTGAAAGTACCCAGCCACAGGTATAAAAACATTTAAATTTAAACTTCTAGTTTAATATTATGTTCTTTGCATTAATAATATAGCATTGTTCAAAGTAAAATACCTTCTGGACTAGCATTTTAGAATCATAGGTCATAATTTAATATTTAATATAAAAAAAAATCCTTTTAACCAGTTAGAAAACTTACACCATTCTTAAAATGAGTAGTAACTTACAGGTGATCTTTGCCCTTGGAATGGAGGCAGACACTTTCTGGAATATTGCTTGTTGTTTCCTTTTTATTACCTCATTATATTATAAGGAAGATAACATCAAGTACTGAATTATAAGTCTAAGCAAAAGAAATTATGAACAATTTCATAGTGAAGGCCACGGAGGCGGATTCATGTTAAAGCAGTAAACATTCCCATTGTTTCCACATTTGCAGTTTCTCATTGCCAGTCACCAGTGCCTAAGCTAAATATTTCCTCTGCCTTGTTGGTCTCTAATTCACTTCAATGTCTGCATTCTGGAAAAGATGGAGTCATATAATCAATCCAACTATGTATTAAGAGAATCATGCCTTGCAGAATGAAACCTTTGGTGTTAGAGTATAACACTAAGTTTGCAACATATTTATGTGTAGAAAATTGGTAAATAGTGTCCAAATTATTGTATCCACTATCATTAGTGGACCTTGGAATATTTTAGAACTGGCCTTAAGCAGATACTCTGTCTAGATACATAACATTATCATATTATTGTATATGATTTGAATTAAAACTTAAGAATTTGCTTTTCTTTCTGATTGGTGTTGAGTTTGTTCTCTGAATTTAAAGTTTGCCTAGTTTCCAGTTGTTAACCTTTACAAACAGTAGTGAAATGCAGTATAAAGAGTCACTATTGAAGGGATGGTGGGGTAAAATCTTTTCAAGTGAGGAAGGCTTTGCAATAATACAAATCATCTGTTAATTCATTTTCAGTGCTTTAAAATAGCAAATTAAGTGCATTTTAAAGAAAGAATGACAAAATTTGATTTGCTGGTTGGTGTTTTTCTTTATCATAGTCTAAGGCAAATTATTTTTTACTTCTTGGTTACAATCTAGTGATTTTGGAGTAGCTACACATAGATTAAGAAGTTGAACAGTTAAATCAATTAAATTTTCATTATTTTTTTATATCTCTTTGCCCATACTTGATTACTTAAGGATAAAGTTATTTTTAAAACATGTACTCTGATAGAATAGACACCTGAGAGACAAAATAAGCACATTCATCTTCCACATTTGCAAAAATGGTTCAAGAACTAGAAATAAATAAGGATTGTGATGCAGAAAATGTATTTGTATATCCCAATGCTCTTGTGTGGAAAAGTATGATGAATTGTGGATCAAAGAAGGCCAAGTAGAGTGGAAAAATAAACTAAAACTCATCACAAAGGAGTTAAAGCAGAATTTTGTTGAAATTTGTGAAAAATATAAAATTGCAGTTTATCCCTAGGACAAGTTACTTCATGATGACTCTAAGGGAGGAACAACCTTAAAGGAAATACCTTCTAATTTAACAAATAATAGACTTGATTGTAGGAGGTAAAATAAGCACCTTGAGTGTCTATCTCTGTAATATTTTCAGGCATTTCCTGAACAAAAAGACCTCAGTCTCAGAAGTTTCTTTCTTTCTCATTCATACTCTGGGTCGCTGGAATATGCTTATGTTATCTTCTAAACTTTATTTAAATGAATAAATGACACTGTGAAAATGATAACAAAACAGATGCTAAACATGTTTTTAACACAGTTGAGGAGGAATTTTTATAAGGATACAGAAACTAAAAAAGCGTGGAAGTTAGAGAAGTTACAGTTGGAATGTAAGAACACAAAGAGTTTGATATGCAAATGACAAAAAATATGAACACAAATACCACTAAGTGGAAAGTAGACATTGGACATGTGCTTTGGTGTAGCAGTGGCTTACATGCTGACACGAAGTGAGGCATGTGACTCAAATGAGAAGACGCAGTATATGTATTGTTACAGATACTTATAAGAAAAGAAAACCAATAGAGGACTTGTTGCAGAAGCTATTGTATGATAACCACAATGCTAATAAGTGTAAAAGCATAAAAACTGAATTAGAAAATGTGAGTTGTTCCCCATGACATAGTCACACATCCAATCTACCAAAAAGAAAAATTGCAGTAATATATGCAAAGATGTATGAATGAGGTAGGCATGTGACAGGTAGAGTTCCAGGCTTTGGAGAAAGAAAAAGTTGAAGTTCCAAAAGAGGTCGAAGGTTCATTTCCTGCTGTTCTTTTTTCTGTTTATAAGTTGTGTGATCCAGTCTGATTTTCTGCTTATGAAAAGCTCACATGTAAAATGGAGTTATCCAAATATGTGTGATTTCTGTTACCTAAATGACAGAAGTTCAGGAAAACTTTCTCATCATCTTTGTTCCTTAATCATCCTATGTCTTTCTATCAAGGAATGGTGGGCTAAAATCGTTTTAAGTGAAGAAGGATTTGCAATGGTACAGATCATCTGCTAATTCATTTCTGATTAGCAAAAATGAATCAGTCTTTGAAGTGGCCTATGAACTGGAAAAGTGATTTAGCTACACAACATGTGACTTTATAAAACAGAATGAACATAAAGAAAATTCCTACAAGGTGTAATAAGCTCTTGCATTTTTTTCCTATTGACTTACACATGAACTGCATTTATTTAAACAATAATATGGTAATACAATGGGAAGGAAGCAATGACCAAGAACACATATAAAAATGTACCTAGCCTTGAGAATTAGAACAAATATCCCCAGCTAAAAGAATCTGTTTATTGTACTTTCATGTGTGCAGGTTTATCTGTTTAACTCAGACTGTTAGAACTTATAAATCCATCATGACCACTTTAAATATTTTTGACAACAAATATATATGTTTACACATATTTTTTTTTAAAAAATTACTACTCTCAAATGTTTCCGTTGAATCAGATCATTACACAGTGTTGCTTAATAAATCATGGTAAGTTTTCACATGTGTGATTTTTATCATATTAGTAGCATAAATCCTTAGTCAAAAATGTATTATTTGACTCCAAAGTAGAAAGGTGAGTTCAATACATTGAGGTTTTTTTGTTGCTGTTGGGTTTTTTTTTGTTTTTTTTTTTTCGAGACAGAGTCTCTCTCTGTTGCCTGGGCTAGAGTGCCATGGCATCAGCCTAGCTCACAGCAATCTCAAACTCCAAGCCTCCTGCCTCAGCCTCCAGAGTAGCTGGGATGACAGGCGTGTGCCACCATGCCTGGCTAATTTTTTCTATATATATTTTTTAGTTGTCCAGATAATTTCTTTCTGTTTTTAGTAGAGACGGGGGTCTCGCTCTTGCTCAGGCTGGTCTCGAACTCCTGACTTGGAGTGATCCTCTCGCCTCGGCCTCCCAGAGTGCTAGGATTACAGGCGTGAGCCACCGCGCCCGGCCCATTGAGTTTTAAAATAGACAAAATCTGGTGATACTCTTCTTTACAAACAGGTGAGGCCTCCCACTCCCTGTGGAGGCATTAAATTTCTTTGCCAAAGTCACATTTTCAATGTATCTGATTAATTTGATTAATTTATCTGGTACTTTTCTGACTCGGCATTATGGAATTGTATTATCTCTTTTGGTGCCATAAAATGCTAGGTAATGGCACCTTAGGAGCTTTGGACTGATCATTTAATCTTTGTTGGTTTTACTTCCATTATCAGTAGATAAGGGGGCTGAAGTAGATAATTACTTCTGTTGTTTATCCTCCAGCTATAAAATTTGATGGTTACAGAAAGTGAATTCAGAAAGCATCTCATCTTCTAGAATTTCACACCAGCAACTCTGCAGTTTCACTCTGCTCCCTGTGTTGTGGCAAACTTTGGCTCCAGGGAGTGCCTTCACTTTTGTGATAGCCCAGGATCCAAATGAAAAAGAAATGATAGAATGTAGTGGGAAAAAGAATAGCTTAGTGCAGAAAGGAGAGATCTTATCTTCCTTTGTGTTCCTGAAGCCCCACAATGTCACATCCTTTCAATCTGGCTATTTAATGTAAAATCCAGGCAATAAAGGCAGATGACATGTTCTGTGTCTTTGTCATTTTATTTCTCAGTTTCTTCCAGTCAAATGGGGTGAAAATTCGTATTAGATAGTGAAGAGTTAATGGACATAAAGGCACAAAATTGAGAAGGGTGCTTTTTGAAATTTTGGGGAATTCTGTTTTATTCACTCAAACAGAAATGAAGCACACTTTACCAAAATTTTAAGAATAAAATGATAATGAGTATATCTCATGATTATATGATAATTATATATAATGATAAGACTAAAGTAAGGATAAAATATTTTACTGACTACTATTATGACAATTAAGCTAAATTAAGTGATAAAATCAATAAAAATAAAAAAGGTCTTTCTATTGAATAAAGTATTAATAATTATCCTTCATGTCAAACTTTCGTTAAAGGTTGGAAAGGAAAGGAAGAATCACAAAAGTAATGAGATAGAAGTATCAAAAAACCTCTATGATGGTGATGATGACAGTGATGATGATAAATTAATCCAACAAAGAAAGGTTGGAAAAACTGATAATCACCAATTTGCTAGGAGGGAGAATGAAGAGTTGGATAGGTAAGCCTGTAGCAATACCTAACAATAGTACAATGTTATTGTACTCTAAAACTAATTCTAATTTGGGCTAATCTTCATAATGAACGAATTTCCTACTTTTGTTAGAGATATTCAACCTTGCCTGGTAATCAGAAAAATGCAAAGTAATAAGCAATGAGATATCATTTTTTCCTAATCATACTGATAGTTTATTAATAAAATTATAACCAGTGTTGGGAAATGTGAAGAATACACTATTGGTAAATTCTTTTTGATGAGTAATTTAATAATGGGCATCAAAATTTCAAATATGTCCTCCGTTTAACCTAACAGCTTCAATTCTGTGACTAGCGTCTACAGGAAAACATGACTCATGTAAACACACACACAAATTAAGAATATTTATTATCTATGATATATACATAACAGGCCAATGTATATATAATATGTATATAATGTTTGTTAATATATATATGTATGTTAAGGATGTTTATTTTAACATTGTCATATCACAAAAATTGGCTCTGGATCAAACGGTAGGTTAAAACCACAGTGAGTTATTAAAAAGTCCCAAAATAGTAGATGCTGGTGTGGATGCAGAGAGAAAGGAATGCTTATACACTGTTGGTGGAACTGCAAATTAGTACAACCTCTACGGAAAACAGTATGGAGATTTCTCAAAGAACTAAGAGGAATTGTTTAATATTTGCTCTCAGAAAGATCTCCCTTTTTTAAGATACTTAGTCTTGACTAGAAGAATTATCTACTAATTTTTTTTGTAAATAGTTGTTAGTTTTGTTTTTTGGTACTTTTTAGGGGCTCATGCTCAACTCAACATAATGGTCTTCAGTGGGAAATTTTAGTTCTTTGTAAATTTATGTCAGTATATGATAGTGATATTCTTATGCATGTGTTAACTCCTTTAAAAAGTGCATACATAGAGAAAGGAATGCTTATACACTTTTGGTGGGACTGCAAATTAGTACAACTTCTGTGGAAAACAGTATGGAAATTCTTCAAAGAAATAAATGTAAACTTACCATTTGACCCAGCAATCCTACTACTGAATATCTAGCCAAGGGAAAAGAGGTCATTTTATCAAAAAGATATCTGCAGTCAAATGTATAATTCATGATTGCAGAGATGTGAAATCAACCAATGTGCCCATCAATTCATGAGTAGATTAAGAAAATGCGATATACACACACACACACACACCCCCCCATGGAATACTACTTAGTCATAAAAATGAATGAAAATAGTGCCTTTTGCAGCAACTTGGATGGAACTAGAGACCATTTTTCTAAAAACAGTATCTCAGGAATGTAAAAACAAACACCATGTGTACTCTCTAATAATGGTAGCTAAACAATGGGCACACGTAGGCACAAAGACATGTAAAGGTCATTGGAATCCAATAAGGGGGAGGGTGGGGTGGAATAAGGGGTAAATACTTAATGAGTATAGTGAACACTATTCTTTTGATGGGCACATGAAGAGCCCCAACTTAAACAATAATACGAGGTATCCGTATAACAAAAACATTTGTACCCCCTTAATATTTTTAAATTTAAAAAAGTAATTGTGAATTTTCTGCTGGTAAGCCCAGCTTTTTATTTTAGGATTAGAGACTAGGCTAAAAGTGTACAAAAGTTACCAGATTATTTTATTTGCCAACAACATCATAGTTAATTAGAGCATTTCTATTTTTGAACTATATTTAATGACACATAGGTATTTTAAAAGTAAGGCTTTTTCCCCCCAAGATGTTTTCCCGTTTTCCTGCTACATTCATGTTATAATAAGTGCCTCATTGTATGTTTAAAACTTAATTTACATTAAACATTATCATATTTGAAGACAAAACCAAAAAAAACCACAAATCTAATTATTACTTCCATGCCTAAGAGTCATTACTTATAGGTAGTGAGCTTCAGCCTTTCAGTATAGAATTCAAGTTCAGGGTAGCATTCATCTCCCATGATTCGCTTCCATGTGTTTTACACTTTTCCTTTCAAGGTCCTAGGAGCCACCTAGACTCCATGTGCCTCTTCTTGGCGCTCACATTCTGTTCTCTAAATAGAATGGTTTTCTCCCACTTTTTTGGCCTGGTGAGCCCTCTTATGTTTTTACTCTTCTGTGAAGCCTTCTTTGTGCTAACATATAACTTTTCATAGATTACCTCTTACATATCACATTTGATCATAAGTGTATATTTACTTGTTTTTGGAAGGAGGAAATATACATTTCTTTTTATGTTGTTGGTACTTCATAACTGTTTTTTCCATTAATAAATGAATTGAGATAGGAGAGAATTGGAATTTTACAAAAATTGTGTTTTTACTCTTTGTCAGTGGAATTATTAGAAAACATTGACTTTTTAATGGATTTTTAAAGCAGCAGTCCTGAGTTTGCATATGAAGGAAGTAAGGAAAAATAAAAATGTAAAATGGACCTCAAAAGAATCTGCAATGACACCAATGTTTGAAGAGGCCAATTTACTAACTGGTATCTACTACAAGTGAATGATGACAGCAGTTTAAGTGAAATAAATGAGGATAAAGGAGGGAAAAATCTTCAAGTTCTTTACTTCACTGTGAAGTAATGTTAGCAGTGATTGCATTTCCTAGAAATAGAATAGTGTGGCCTACCAAAGCTAGAAAATTCTCAACTATATCAATGCTGCTAAAAGATTGATTAAGACAAAGAATAGTGACTTTGACAAGGAACATTTTCAATAAATAGTCACCATGGTACCCTGCCTGTGGTAGATAAACAGACAACTCTTGAACAAATTTTCGATGGGAAGAGCAATAGAAAAATGAGTAATGAGTGAAGAAGAATGTGGGATTCAAGGGAGTTTTGTTTAATTTTTTTATTTTACAATGGAAGTTTTTAGAATATTTTGTATGCTGTTGGGAATGATCCAGTAGAGAAGAACATATATATGAAATTTACTTTTGTTTGCATGTCTAAGCATTAGAAGGCTTGCTCCATTATCTTTTAAAGATGTATAGTAAGCTAATTATCCTTAGAACTTCTATTTATGTTGAACTTTTTGGTAAGAGGTTGTTCCTTCAGAATTGACTCAGAAATGGAATATTTTAAAGCAATTGAACATGCAAATATTGACCTAAACATTAAAGTATCATACATAGGTTTTTGAAAATGATGTATTAATAGACATACAAAAATTAGGCCATAATGAATTTAAAATAGAATTTAAACATTTCTTGGTAATTGCATATATTACAATACTTTTTGACAATAGCATCATGAATAGCTATGATTTTGTAAGGTTCTCTAAAATATTAGGGGTATCAACTTTATAGTTTAGATTCTGGGGAGAAGGGGATCATTTTGTTTATGTTCAATAGAAAAACAAACTATTGACAATCTATCCAAGATCATTACTTTTGGATTATAATGCTGAAATGTGTAAAAACCATGTTTCCTTGTACCAGCAATGTCATGGACGTATACTGTGTGCTCAGTAGGTGTTTGTTGAATGCATGAATAAACAGTTGAATAGATAAATAAATGCCTGATGATGAATTTCTTTAGAAAAAATCAATTTTGAGTTATTGAAAGGTTTCCCAAATTACCTGGTTATAAAGTCTTTTTGTTTAAAAAAATTGCGAGATTCACAAATTTTTATTTACAATTATAGCCAGAAATGGAATAATTATATGTATGGATTTGTCTGCTATCATAGCACTTAAAAACAATCGAAAATAAATATGACTTTCAGAGCATATTCTGAAATACACATTTTGGAGCCAGAATTCTTGAGTTTGAATACTGTGTCTGCTACTGACCAGCTGTATGTGCTTGCATAAATTACTTGGCCTTTCTGTGCCTAGTTTCTTCTTTTATAAAATACCTGATATGTTACCTACCTCGCAGAATTGTTGAGGATTACACTTAGTTTAACACATGTACAGTGCTTTAAATAATGCATAGTAACTTCATAGTAAGTTCTTAAAATGCTAACAAATAACATCATTGAAAAATACTTCCCGGGAGGAGGGGACGGGTATTTGCATACACAAAGAGTGCAATGCGCACCATCCAAGGGATAGGCACACTTGAAACTCGGACTTGGAGGGGAGTGGGGAGGCAAGGGCAACATACATAACCTAAACATCTGTACCCCCATAATATGCTGAAATAAAAAAAAAAATTCCCTCATATATGGATGTAAATAATATATTCCAAGTAAGTTTTAGTGCCAGTAAAAATTGGTCTTTATTGAATAGGACAATAACATTAAACCTGGTATATTTCCTTCTATCAAATAATGCAAGTAACATGTTTTTCCTTCTGCTTTCACTGTCAGAAAGCTTGATCTAAATTTTATTCTTTGTTGTGATATTATTAATAGTGTTTTCTTTGTCCTTTAATGCTGCTCTTTATGTTTATAGTCTGCCTTGTAGAAAATTTTTGTATTTTACATTACCTGTTAAATAAAATGGTAAACTTTATGAATAGGAAAAATAAATGGCAAATGCAGAGATTTTATATAATGAACAATAGTTTTAAGTATTCTTTGTATTCTATATATTTACTATTTGCCTGAAAGGAATTATTTGTGTTTTTAGGCCTGGAAAGAAAATATCCAAGGAAAAGAACAAGGTATTGTAAAAAATAAATTATCAAAAATATTCTTGTTAAAAAATATATAATGAAAGGTAAAGTGAAAAAAATAGAGAATTTTTGTTGTTAAGACATTTGCTTTGAAAAACTGATTAAGAAACAGTAGCCATTGATGAAGATACCCTTTTAATAAAAATCCATTCTTTTAAAAAGTACCTGTGTTTGTGCTCATATGAAAAATGGATAATGATTATTTCTGTACATTTAATCTGTGCTATAAATATTGTGGGGACTTTGAAACAATGTTATTTATTTTGTAGGTGAAAAACCAAATGCATTCTATGAATGACCTTGATGACTTGACTTGGTCATCTGAAATAGCCTCAGGGGATTGTGAGTTGCCTTCCTTTAACTATAAGACTGTTCTGTCGCTCATTAAACAACATGAAATGTGTTGTAAAGGTAGGACCATTGCCTAAGTGTAAGGCCTTTTTATGTATCTTGTAGTCATGTATGTGTACACTGCTTAGCACTGCACTGTAGAGCACTGATGTGTTAGTGATGTTCATCTCAGAAATACACTTTATGTTAAAATGAGAACTATTGTATATTTTATACTCTCAGCCAAAGAGCTAGAATTCCACTGTACTTTTCTCAGTGTGAATGGTACCCCCAGTCTTTTTGTTGACTCTGCTTCTCTCCTATGCCTTTAACCAAGGTCAGGTTACCATTGTCTCCCACCTGGAATATAAATACTACAATAACCTTAGCACTGCTTTCCCTGCTACTCCTCCTCCCAAAACCATGGTCTACTCTGTATCCACAATGGCATAGTTTGAAAAATTCGATCTGATCATGTTATCCCCCTTTGCTTAAAAACCAGCTATGACTTCTCATTGCTATAAGGTTGAAGACCTCAGTCCTCTAGCTTTATTGGGGATCATTTCATGCCCTTCTTTCTTTCTCTGTGTCCCAGCCACTGTCCTAGGTGTTTGTTCCTGCAATCAGTAGCTTTGGTGAGGTATAATTGATATATGGTAAACCATACATATACATAAAATGTACAGTTTGATAAGTTTTGACATGTGTACACATGTGAAACCACCACCATAATCAAGAGAATTAACACACCCATCAATAACACCAGTCTCCTATGCTCCTTTATATTCCCTTAGTAAAAAACTTATGTATTGTTTTCCAAAGTATTTATATCATTTTCCATTCTCATCAGCAGTATATGCCAGTTCGGTTGCTCTATATCATCATAAACACAGTATTGATGGTTTTTTAAATTTTTTGTATTGTTACTCATTCAGATGGATGTGTTGTGCATATAATTGTGGTTTTAATGTGAGTTACCATAATTACTAATAATGTTGATCATCTTCCCATGCGCTTATTTACCATTTGTGTATCTTCTTTGGTGAACTGTCTTTTAAAATCTTTTCGCATTTAAACAATTATGTTGTTATTATTTGTTGAGTTTTAATAGTTCTTTATATATTCTGGATACTGTTTCTTTATTGACTGTGCTTTTTGCAAGGATTTTTTTCCCAGTTTATGGCTTGACTTTTCATTCTCTTAAGAATATCTTTTGAGGAACAGAAGCTTCTAATTTTAATGAAGTCCAGTTTTTCTGTTTGTTCAATTATGGATTTGGGTTATTGTGTCATATCTAAGAAATCTTTGCTTAGGACAAGATCTCAAAGAATTTATCCTATGCATTCTTCTAGAAGTTCTTGTTTGTGTTAGTTTTAAGTCTTATATTTAGATCTCCAGTCCATTTTTAGGTCCTTTTTGTATACAAAGTGAGGTATGGATTCAAGTTCTTTCTGTGGGTAGGGATATTGTATTGTTCCGGCACCACATATTTAAAAGGCTATGCTCTCTCCACTGCATTTTCATTGTGCCTCTGTCAAAAATGGGTTGGCTGTATATGTGTGGATCTGTTTCTGGACTTTATTGGGTTCTATTGATTTGCAGATGCTCTTTGAATTAAAATGGCTTTGTGTCCTGATAGACCCATCATTTAAGTAAAAAAAAATACTTAAACCCCAATAAATTCATCATAAATTTGGAAAATTATAAGTCAAACCATCTTAAGTTGAGGGTCATCTGTATTTGGCTTTCATTATACAGGTTGAGCATCCCTAACTGAAAAACCCAAAGTCTGAAATGCCCTACAGTCTAAAACTTTTTGAGTGCCAACATGATGCCACAAGGGGAAAATTCCACACAGAACCTCATATAGGCAGCTTTGTTTCATGCACAAAATTATTTATTGTATAAAATTGTCTTCGGGTTATGTATGTAAGATGTATATAAAACATAAGTGTATTTTGAGTTTAGACTTAGGTCTCATCCCCAAGATACTCATGTAGATGCAAATATTCCAAAGTGTGAAAAAAATCTCAAGTCTGAAGTACTTCTGGTCCCAAGCATTTTAGAAAAGGGATAGTCAACTTCTACCAGTATCATGCTGTGTTTTGATTACTGTAGATTTATAGTAATTCTTGAAATCAGCCTTC